CGTTTCAAAAGATCCTGTAAACCTCATTTTTTGAGGGTTACAGGATCTTTTAAAATGGGACATTTGTCAAAAGATCCCCGTCTTGATGACTTTTTCCCAAAAAGCGGCTTTTTGGGGGAAAAGCCGCAGCCACCATTATGCAAATGAAGCACAGGAAATTCAAATCCCCGCTTCATTTACAATTTCGATATGTCTAGTTTACATCCCTTTAGCGAAAAAGGGATGTCGTTTAGACATACCCACAGAGGGGTGTTTGGAAGCAGAGGTTAGGAAGCGCAAACAAATGTTTTAGGGGGTAGCATTGTGGGCTGCCCTTCCAGGGACTTGCCAGACCCAGACAGCATGAAGTAGTTAGAAAGCAATTGTCTGAACTAGGGATGTAAAATCCCGTTTAATTGGTTAACCAGTTAAAGTGGGGAAGGTGTGTGGGGTGGGGCTAGAGTAGCCCCCCGCACTGTCTCTGCCTGCAGCATGCAGGCTGGGCCGGGCTTGCCACAGACAGGAGCTTGCATGGGCCTGGGAGGAACAGCTGCTCTAGGCCCTACCGGTTACTAAGAATCGGTAAGCCTCGCCCACTTACCGGTTACCATTCACATCCCTCGTCCAAATCGTTCTCCAGTCTCTCCTCTTGGCAGGCCACCCAGCCATATTGCATGTGAAGGAAGCAGTCTCCCTGCCAAGCTGCTGAAGGAATTGGAAAGAGGAGGGCTGGTTTACACACAACGCCCTGCTTAAGCCAGGAAGAATGGCCCCGCTTTCTGTATCCTTGTATAAGTGAACACCCTGTGGGGAGAAGGCATGGCAGGCCTGTTACGCGGGGGGGCTTGCGGGTTTTGCAGGCCTAATGCGGCAAGTCGCTAGGAATTCCAAAGCTGCTTATGTCAATTGAAGTTTACGCCGATGAATGTAAATAACAGCGCGGGAGGGAGCGGCTCTGTCTAGAGCTCAGAAGGAAGGGGGACTCCTTTCCCAAGAATATCTGACAGAGTTCTGCATGTCACGGACTAAGCTGAGGGCCTTTCCGTCTCCCCCGGGTACTCCTGTTGTGATCCCAGTTCAGCCACCGGTCTGCCTCAATAGCAGGTTGTGGCGGGGGGGGC